ATTACGACTAAATGAAAGCTTGTCAAATTGAAATGATCAGAATAAAGCAGAATACCGAATATATATATATACCTATGATGAAAGGGAAGGTGATCCAGTTGCCTCTATGTTTGGCAGCAGAGCTTAAGATTTGTGCTGTTTCTGGGTTATCCATTAATTTTGTAACCTTATTGTTACTTGCCTGTATTGAAATCTGTTACTGACAAAGAGAGTAGGTCTTAAATAATGCAAAGGTAGTGGTGTATTCTCACTAATATGGAAAGTGGGAGCTCTTAGCTAGGTTCGAGTTTTCACTAGTTTGGTGAGTGAAGTAAGAATTAGTTATATAGATCACAATATTATTTCTGCGCATTAACCTCCTAATAAATTTTTTAAAAAAATGTTCAATTGCTGTCAACTAGTATTAGATTGTTTTTACCTAAAGGAGCAATGACCCCCTCCACTCCAGCCCAAAGCTTCAGTTGAACGCACAATTAGATGCTATAATTATAGTAAGGGGCAAGATGCCAAATCACTAAATAGAATAATCCATTTAAGAAAAGTAGTGATAAAGGTGATCTTTCCAATAATTACAGAATAATAATAAATTGCGAACCCACCCTAATTAGCTAGGCATCTTCTTATGGCAAACATTTCATCTTCAATTGGTGTGACAAATTTTTGGTGAACATCATAATAGATTAGGTTTCATATTGGGATATGGCAAAATCCATCTTTCAACTAAAAAATGATTGAAAAAATAATCATTCATATACATTTTCCCCAAAAAAAATTTAAAATAAAAGTGCAAAACACGTGGGTAATGGAAAGATAGAAACCGAGCAATAATGTAAATATTATTTTTTTATATGATACAGAATTAGAATTATTTCAAATATTAGTAATTTTATTTTAGAGTTATTGCTAATTATGTCTAATCCACATTGGTATAAATTAAATGCAGTTTATTTTAATTTTAATTCTACGTTTAGCTTTTTATTTTGCGTTTTTTGATCGATTATCTCATACTACCTATGTTTCATAATATCTGTCATATTTAAAATTTCACGTTCTTTAAAAAAACCGTTAAATTTATCTAGGATACAATAAATTTTTGAGTAAATTGACTATATTACCTTTAATTTAATATATGCAAACACCAAATTAAATTTTAGATTCTTTAATTTTCATATTTTGTCCGATCATAGTGGTGGAGAGATTTTAGAAACACAAAGAGGATGCAGTAAATAAATTTTTTTGAAGAATTGAAGTAATAATTATTGGTCATATACAAAGGGTAGACATGGAAAAAAAAAATCTATTGCTCCTTAAAACTATAAATTGACAAGTATTTTAAAATAAATTATTTTCTCAAATCTGACAAGTATTATGAAATAGAGATAGTAATTTACAGAAAATAGATGCTAAATAATATTGTCATTAATTAATTATACATCATTAGAGTTGGAATTAAAGTAAAATTAATAATACCGTAAATAAGATTAAAAACATAAAATCTTGAATTTTTTTTTTTTTCAATAATAACTTTGGTTGGTCGTCACTATCATATTAATTATTAATTATTTTAGTCATCAAGGGAGTCAAAATTAATAAAAAAGTTCTCATTAGACGGTTTATCTCTTTCAAAACTAAAACTTAAAAGCTCTTTTTTCTTCTTTTTTTTTTTTATTTTTTGCAAATAATCTTCAAATCTGTATACAGATATGAGTCATTGTCGTTTAATTATTACGATTTATTGTTGCCCATATCTTGAGTTTTGTTCTATAGATCTAATTTTGAGTTATTGTTGTCATCATTATGGTGATTTTGTCTAGTGTAGATCTCCGAAAGAAATTTGAAGGTAATCATATCGGATTTATAGAAAGACTATGGAGTCGAATAGTGGCCATGAATAGCCATCAAGTGGAGCAAGTGATCGCTAATGGCACAAATATTATATTATACTTTGTCAACTCGATCAGATACTTTAAATCAAGATTGCATTTTTTTATTCTTTGGATAATTGGTGGTTTATTATTAGACTTTCTATATAAAAATACAGAAACATATTGATTTATATTCCATATGTATACAATTTCCTCTTAACGAAATTTCGGTTTGGTTTCTTTAAAAAAAAAAAGAGTCAAAATTAAATTAATTAATAATGTTATTAATGTGACTATTGTCGTTCAAAAACAGTGAAATTCATTATTTTTCTCCAATAATAAATAATTTCAGGTTCGAGTGGATCAAAAAATTTGTATTAACAAAGCAAGATATACTTAAGTGCTTTTAGATTATCTATCTCCTAATAACAATTACCATAACTATTTTACCATATTATGTATTTATAAAATAAATTTTATATTAATAAAATAATTTGAGCAAATAAAAAAAAAAAAAATACTCCATGTGACTTGCGGGTAGGTTAGCCATGTGACTTGCGTTATCTATTGACTTACTCGGTTCGCGTTTAATGTGTTATTATGGCTTCTTGCCTGCAATTAATTGATTATTTTAATAGCAAGCTGACTAATGAGCATTTTTAAGTGACAATATAGGAATAGACTTACCTAGGGTAGAGAATTATTACTAGTGATAATGATAGTTTTCTCTTGAGCATTGGGAGAGCATGTTTCAAACCCGGATCTATTGTCATGTTATACATATATTTATCATTAGAACCGAACCGAAATAGGGGTAGAAAATATAAAACTAAACTTCTTAAGGTCTAAACCGAACTGAGGATGGATCTGAGCTGAACCAGCCGATTCAGGCTATTTTTGGTCGGTTTCTGCCTTATTAGTTTGGTTTTTAAGCTTAACTGATTATTTCCTCCACAACTGAGCCGATGCAGACAATAATTTCAGTCCAAACCAAATAACCCAACCAACCCAACTCCTCTTTGAGCAACTGATCGAACCAAAATGGGTTGGTTCGGTTCAGTAAGATGATTTGCAGGCCCCTACATACCACTAAGGGTGGCCACGGTTCCGGAACCGGCGGTTCCGATTCCAAAAAAACTGGAACCAGAACCGAACCGAAAATTTTCGGTTCTGAGTTTTCTGACCGGTTTTCCGGCAAATCACATAATTTTAAATTTTAAATTTTGAAGATCGGTTTTCAAAATTTAATAAATTTGTAAAAGTTATTTGTAAAAAAAATACACCTAAAAAAATATAAAACTCAAACTTTCTGTAAGGTCTTAAACCGAACTGAGGGATTCGGCATGCTGAGCTGAACCAAGCCGATTCAGGCTTTTTTGGTCGGTTTTTCTGCTTATTCAGTTGGTTTTTTAAGCTAACTGATTATTTCCTCCACAACTGAGCGATGCAGACGAATAATTTGCAGTCCAAACCAAATATACCCAACCACCCAACTCCCTCTTTGAGCAACTGATCGACACGCAAAATGGTTGGTTCGGTTCAGTAAGATGTTTGCAGGCCTACCATACCACTAAGGGTGGCCATCGGTTCCGAACGGCGGCTTCCGATTCCAAAAAAACTGGAAACAAGAACGAACGAAAATTTTCGTTTCTGAGTTTTTCTGACCGGTTTTTCCGGCAATCACATATTTTAAATTTAAAATATTGAAGATCGTTTCAAAATTCTAAATAAATTTGTAAAAGTTTATCTGTAAAAAATGAATACACTAAAAATTAAAAAATTAAACTTCAATAATATTATTATTTATTTTTAAAGACTTGAACCTTATATTTATTTTTAGAAAAATCTCTGTCAAACTGATTTATTTGGAAAATTATAAATTTGAAACTTACATAATATAGATATAATTTGGAAAAATTGAATAAAAAATTAGAGGAGAGAATCACATAAATTAATAAGAGAGGATTGTTAGCAAGTAGAAGAAGAAAATGTAGAGTAGAGTTAGTAATATTGTAGTGAGAGAGTAGAGATTTTTTGTGATGAAATTGTAAATTGAAATGAGATAATTTATAAATAAAATCCAAACAATTATTTTCTCCAAAAGATACTCTATAAAACCTAGTCCCAGTTTCATTGGTTATGTATTATGAGGGGGTAATAAAGAGATTTTTTCACATACAAGAATTTAAAGGAAAAAAAAAAGAACATAACAAAGACTGACAGTTCATCACACATTGTTTTAGCAACGCACCGCCGGTTCTAACACGGTCGAAGAACCAGCGGGTTCAATCCGATTCCGACCTGGTTTATTTAGGAACCGCGGTTGCGGTTCCAAACAAAACTGGAACCGGAACCCCAGAAACCAAAAGATCTCCGTCTCCACGGTTCCGATCGGCTCGAATTTCACAGTTCCGGTTACAGTTCTGGGACCAAGGTTAACGAAATTAAAAAAAAAAAAAAACAAAAAACTGACAGTTTCTAACAGTTAGAACCGCCGGTTCTAACCGGTCGAAGAACCAGCGGTTCCATCCGATTCCGACCGGTTTATTGGAACCGCCGGTTGCGGTTCCAACAAAACTGGAACCGGAACCGAACCAAAAATCTCCGGTTCCGGTTCCGATTCGGCTCGATTCCAGTTCCGGTTACAGTTCTGGACCAGTTCGAACCGACGGTTCCGGTTCCCGAAACCGTAATATGGCCACCCTTCCATACCACCAGTGATAATGGTAGTTAACTATTGGTTTAGTGTATGGATGGTCCCATACACCAAGAGTAGGTAAGTTACTCCTGACCATATAATCGCCAAGGTTATACATACAAGCACGTTATGATATTTTCTTGCTTATAATTCAAGAATCTGAAAATTAAACCAATGTTTGTAAATTCAGAGAAGCATCAGCTAATAGAATGATAACTTTGGCATAATAATAAAGCAAGTATTAAACGATAAATAGCCCTTAGAGGGAAAGCAAATTCTCCATTTGCAATAAACAATTAGGAAAAAGAGAGTTTCTGAATCTTTCTTTTTCTCTTATTTTGACAATAATATTTTCAGAACTTGCAGGTACAGCGAACAACTTGCATTTTTCTATACATATCGCACAAAAAGTAATTGAATCATCTCATATCATGAAGTTTTAGGAACTTGGTCTATATTGGATTCAACTTATTGAAAATTATAAGCATGGATTGAATTGAGAATAAATTCAAATATTCAAAAACTTACAAATCAGCATATCTTACAAGAGGAAGAAACTTTCAAAAGAAAAAAGAAATGCTCAGTCACATGAAGATTGTAAGGTGACTGACCTCATAAAGATTAAAGATAGTGTACAACTGCGCACAACCGGATAATCAGAGAAAGATTTGACTTTGTCTGATCTCTGACCCCATTTGCAATGTTGTTCAACACGATTTCTCTGTTATGATCAATAGTGTTTGATCCTGAGCAATCATTCCCATCGAACAATATTCAAACAGGTAGGTTTTGAAATAATAAATGAATAAATTACTTGAAGCTGAAGCTATTTTTTGTATTATGCATACTCAGGATTGAGTGCTAATGCTTCCCTGTAAATCATTTCTTTCATTTGTTCTTCTCCCAATGGTTGTTGTTCAAAATCAAAGGAGAACGGCTCTGGACAGACAGGTTCATCAGCTATATCATGTAACCTTGCAAGATATGGGTGGGCTAATGCTTCTTCAACTGCATTTACATTTAGAAAAAGGAACAATATGAGCACTTCAATTCAAGTATATGTAATTGAACTTTTTATTTTAATATGTTTGCCGCCCCAGTAGATCATATACTTGTTCTCAGATGGTTTTTGTGATTATCAAGTGCAAAGCGATTATTAATTAGCAATTTGAAGAAATAAACTGAGGACAGGTATTCTTGTTCAGTTAAATGGCACTGGATGGATAACTGAACTTAAAGATTTTATAGTTGTGGAGAAAGAAAGTTTTGCGTGCTTTAAATGTCCATAATGGCTTCTCAATGGGACTTGCTTAATTGGTTTAGTGATGAATTTTACTATCAAACAACATGATAGAAAAAAACAATTACTATGCAAATAATTTACAGAAGTTTCAAAATGGGAATGTAGAGCTTACCAGTAATTCTTTTTGTGGGATCAAATGTCAACATTCTATCAATAAGATCAATGGCCAATGGATGAACATGAGGGAAAATTTGGGCTAATGGCTGACGAGGATGTGGACTGAGTTGCCGAATATATCTTCTGGCATCCTCATTCTTGACAAACCCAAGATCTGATTCAGTTGGTGTCCCAAGAAGCTGGAAAAATGAAGGAAATAGGATGTGTAAGAATTCTTCCAACAAGCGCATTACTCTAGAAACAAGTCCAATAGTAATATTGAACAATCTTTCTATATGCGCCAAATTCTTTTTAAAATTTCTAATATGATACAAAATTCTTAGAAGCCTAGATTGTTGAGAATAGATTATAGAAGCAAAACAATAGGCGAACATCATTTTCCCAGTTGTCTAATTGTAGTTCCAAAAGTTGGCTGTAGAATATTTTAGATACAATCAACACAACCTTTTGTATATTTTAAATGTTTCCTTAGAATGTGAATTGCAAATTTTATTTGCTTAATCTTCCTTCATCTTACCTCTGTTAAAATACGCATCTGATGAACGTGATCTTTGCCTGGAAATAAAGGCTTTCTATTCATAAGCTCCATAAAGATGCAACCAACTGACCACACGTCTATTGCAGCAGTGTAGTCTGAAGAGTTGAGCAAAAGTTCAGGAGCTCTGTACCATCTGGTGACAACATATTCTGTCATAAACTCATTCTCTGAAGTTGGCCGAGCTAGACCGAAATCACAGATCTTCAAGTCACAATTTGCATTTAATAACAAATTACTGGGTTTTAAATCTCTATGAATAACATTCGCAGAGTGTATGTACTTCAATCCTCGAAGAAGCTGATACAGAAAGTACTGCAGGCCATACAAGAGAAAAACAAAAATAAATATCATAAATTAGGCTATTGAATTGTTAGAAGGTTTAAGAAATCAAACTGAAAGAGTAATACCTGACAATGCTCCTCTGACAAACTTTGATTCGAGCGTATAATCTGATGAAGATCAGTGTCCATGAGCTCCATGGCAATGTAGACATCAGTAAATTCTCTTCTTAAAGGAGGAGGAATTACATCTCTGATGGCTATAACCTGTTTGACATGCAAAAGGTTTTTAGCTCTCCAAAGTCACTACTAATGGCAGACAATTCTAAATTTCAAAATTCAGGACTCGATCAACCATAAAGGAGTACTATATTATTCAACATCCAAAGGAAAATTGGTACCTCATAAGCACAACTCCCATAAGCATATTATTCAGCATTTTGGGACTAGTAATGGGGATGGGGCTTATTAATCAGCAAACAGAAGCTATCATGAATAATTGACATGTGCACAACTACACATTGAAAAGTGTGAGATAAGACTTCCCACATTTCAGCATGTTCTTTTTTTTTTCCCTTTAAATTATTTAAATTTCTCTCCCTTTTAGAAGGGAAAAATATCAGACCTGTGAGGAAAAAATAGTAGTCAAAATCTCTTAACTGCCTGTCAACAGAGGACCTTAGGGAGAAATTCAACTGCCAATCCTCTGTGGTACAAGTGTAATGACCAACAGAGAATGGCCCAAAAAGTACTAAATGACACTATACATAATTATCAAATGATAATAGAGAAGCAACAACAGCAGCTAAGATAATATTTCTTCATCCTCTAAATTCCGTTACACAATTCCAACCAGCCAATATGAATTAATTACAATTGTACTAACAAGAGATTTTAAAAGGTAGACATTAGAGTCCAAAGAAGGAAACTTAGATCATTCATAACAAAACGAACTATTCATATCATACTTATCCTTTCAAGTTTTAGAGTAATGTTTGCTGGAATCTATCGATTGAATTTACAATCAATTGTTAGAGATTTCACTATCTTATATATGAACAACCATTTTCTGAGAATTTATAATAATTTTCCATTAAATCTCAAACATTCATTAATTCAAGGCAGAAATTCTAGAAACATAAGTTTTTAGATGACCCAAATCTAAAATCCGTAAAATAATTCCATAAATATTTATTTCTTCTATCAAAATAATTAAGGAAGATCAAAAAGGAAAACACAATCCAAATGGAGAAGAAGATATTACTCACGTTCTCATGATCCAAATGGCGAAGCAACTTAATTTCCCGAAGCGTTCGTTTTGCGTCCATGTGATTATCAAAAGCATTCGCTATCTTTTTTACCGCAACCATCTCGTTTGTCTCCGAATTCAACACCGAGCTTCAAAATCACAACCACGGAAAATCTCTCAACACCGTCAATCCATAAAAATATAAATAAAACGCAAATATAATAAAAACTTGAAACCGTTAAATTCCATACCAGACGATACCGTAAGCGCCGCGACCAATCGGCATAATCGGAGGTCGATATTTCGAGGTAATTTCAAAAAGATTGCCGAAAATGTTATATTGAACAAACTGGCCGCAGTGAGTTGGAATCACCGGAAAATCTCCGTATTGACCGCCGGCGTTGCCGTCAGCCATTTCCTTTCTTTCTGTATTTGTACGTGTACAAAAAAATCAGTATGTCTCTGTATCCTTAGCTCCTTTGATTGTTCTGAAATTAGGAAGACACAAAGATTTATATAAGTGAAGAGGAGACTTAAAACTTTGACTTATTTTCTAATTTCTAAGTTTTTTTTTTAATAAAATAAATATATTTCAATTCAGGTTGTAAGACTTTCGGGAGTGAAGCCAAAGTTTTTGAGTTCGAAGCAGATGCAAGGAAGCAGAAAGGAAAACGCGCGAGAGAGAAGACCAGTACGCGTTCCTTTCGGAGTAATGGACGTCTGAGATTAAAGCCGCCTCTGATCAACGGTCAATATTTCTTCAATTTTTTCAACGGCCTTCTCTCTTTACCGTCTTTTGTGTTTGGTGGATTTTTTTTAAATTTTTTTATTTCAATTGTGATATTTATTTATTTATTTTATATGTTTTGTTATAATCAAGCAGGAAACGTGTTCCTTTACTAAAATGTCAGGGGCCCCATCTCATGAAATTTTTGGCATATATTACTATGAAATTAAGTAGATATTTTAAGAATGGGAATATATATAATATATACATCTTAAATTTAGTGATAAGATGTATAATCTTTATATTTATCCAATAAGATAAATAAAGAAAAGTGTATTATTATATTTATATTTAATAATATCACAATAATTTTAAACTATTTTAAATAATTACCTTTCAAAAAAAAATACTAATTAAGGAATTTATGATAAAAGCCAGGAAACAATTAATCATTGGATCAATTTTAAAATAATTGTTATGAAATCCACATAATGCTTAAGTTTGATCTTTATCTTAATTTATTTTTTAAAAAAATGTTAAGATTGCTCTTTTATTTTAATTAATTTATTATCATTTCATCATTCTATCAAAAGACTAACTATGACATAACTAGTTATACAATGGTAAATGCATATATGACTCGTCAATAAATTCGGATTTTAATCTATTTCTCCAATATTCAAAAATCATGTATTTTACATAAAAAATTTTACATTCTAAAAAAAATAGTTATACAAAGTCTTTTTTTTTTAATATGATATTTAGAATAAAACTGGTTTTTCTTTTAAAAAACAAACTATTTTAAATATTAATGAAAATTATTTTACAAATTTTATTTGCCTTCTTTTGAATATTTTGTAATTAAACATATAAGATTCACTCTAACAATAAATTTTAATGTTTTTTATAGATATTTTTAACATGATATTTTCCTTAATTAACACATCAAAACAGATTTTTTTGTTCAAATTAACTATGTAACCCCTCAAGTTTAGTCATCATCATAGCTTCATCCCTTTTGTTCGATAAATATACTAATTAATACCTAAAATAATGAAATTTAGTTCTGTTAAATTATATAATTCTTGGTCCAAGAGTGACATATAAGTGAGGAACTAAATAATAATTCAATAGAAAATAAAAAAAGACTAAATAATATAGCTATATTAAATTTCAAGGACCAATTATTTAAATATTAGAGGATATTTAACCTTTAAAATGACACTTTTAGATAAAAAAATTAAATAGATAAACGGAGCTAAATTTTAAAAACTAATCAGTCAGTATATTAAGTAAATAAGAGTAATAAAGTCGTAATTATGACTTCAATCTAAAGGACTAAATAGTTATTTAACTATTTATTATCTTGAGATATCAAAAGAGAATTTTAATACACGTGGACATTGGGAAATGGTTTCTATATAGAAAATAATGACAAGAATTAGTTAGAAGAAAGAAAGACAGAAAATGAAATGAAAGGTATAGAGGGGGCATTATCAATTATGGAAGAAGCAAGAGGTAATCTATATTAATGAGCCACGTGTAATTGGGGATGAAGAAATGGAATTAGAAGAAGCTCAATTATTGGATTTCTTGTCAAAACATTATTAGGTGCTCCAACCTATTTTTTAGTTGGCTTTTGGCTATAAAAAAATCCTTATAGCCGTCCACACCTTGCATGTTCCTATTGGATAACCTGATCTCTTTTAAAAATTTGTCTATTTGCATTTGGACATAACAATTACTCCCTCTTTTCTCTTTTGTTTAAAGAAAGCATAAAAAGTATTTGGATTAAAAATTAGTTAAATTAAGTTTTCTTTCTAAAATGCTCTTCATTTTATCATTAATTATGGAAACAATAGCTGACATAAAATACAGTATCAAGAAATGTATTTATTGCCTATTTGCATCGTTTGGCATTACTTCCAACCTTTTTTAGTAATTTTATGTAACTTTATTAAAACGGAGACGTTTTACATAATACGTGCACAAAAATGAAAAAAATTTTAGAGCCTAATTAAAGACTAAATTTTTGAACTTATTCATTGAAAGCCATAAATTTCTAAAATTTTCTGCGAAAATAAAGGAGGAAAAACTTAAATGAAAATAAAGGAGCAAAATTTGGTTTCTCCAAATTTAAATGAAATTCAGAAAGTAGTTGCCAAATGCAATACATTGCGGCCAAAATAAAATAGAATCCGAGTTTTAATTTGAAAACTCTTAACAAGTTTTAATTTGAAAGTGGATACTAAAATCTGAGTTTTAGTGAGTTTGAAAAGTGCACAACTAATAATAATAAGGCCACAACGTGGCTGACAAATGAATACAACCATTATAAGGATTTGAAAAAGTGCACAACTAAGAATAACAAGGCCACAAAATATTTTACAAAAGTGCACAAAGACCACAAAGTAACTTAAAGAATTTCACAACCGTTAACTAACACAAAGAAACAAAAATCATTGAAAAAGTGCATGAGTACTAAAAAATGGTCATAAAATAGCTTAAAAAAGTGCACAACTAAGAATTAAAAGGACATAGAGTGGCTTACAGAAGTTAACTACCACAGAGAAATAAAAATCATTGAAAAAGTGCACAAGTACTAAAAACAAAAGGCCACTAAGTGGCTTAAAAAAAAAAAAGATAATCAGAAAGTGAACAATTTCTACCAATAAAAGTACACATTAACCTATTTATTGTCAACATTCTTACCTAGATCAGCATTAATAGTAGCACCTAGATCAACATTAATAGTAGCAAGTGTGTCCTCCACAATGTTTCCTACTGGATCATCCATCTCATCACTTGCAAAATGATCTTGAGAGTCAATAAACTTCCCTCTTGTCCATGGTTCTTATGTACAAGGTTAGGTCTCATCCAAGGCTACGAGTGCTTATTGATCACTATATTCGGGCGCATCTTTACTTTTTTTGCCACTTTTTTCTCCAGTAGGTGTTACGAAAATCTCAGAATACTGACCCGTTCTTTGGTGAAATTACCTCAAATCAGCAACACAAGACTGCATCTCTTCAAGTTATGCACTATTTTTCTATGTTTGCTCATTGTATTTATCTATCTTTTCCACCAATGTGGTCAAAAGAGTAGTAATTGCATTCAATTTTTTCAGAATCTCAACATTATTGTTTGCAACTGAAGGCACTCTTCCGGCCCTTCTTGGAAGAGTAGCTGGCTCCTTTAGTGTACGATTTTCATCTTTGGATCCCCTCTCCAAGTATAACATATATCCATTCCTGACGTCAATGGTTGTAGCCAAATTTATAAAGACAAAAGTGGATATATATTCATCAAACATCCAAATAAGGGATAACTCTGTATTTATGTGGTCAAATTTATAAAAACGACCACTGTTACTATAAAACAAAATGAAAAAGTGAGTTGATAACTTGTCTCTTGAAACACACATTCATTAAATGCTGAAAATATTTGTGTCTGTCACTTTCTTTGATTGTTGAGCTTCAATTTTAAAAAAAACACATATATTTCAAAAGCTTTCTAGTCTTTTTAACTTAGCTTGCATCCGAAAGTTACTAGTCAATAGATTAAAAAAAAGTGAATTAAAATTATACACATCAATGTATATTATAGTGATAAATATATGCAAGACACCATAACATATTCTGGTTTGAATCTTCTCTCCTTAAGTGAAAGAAAAAAAGAGAGAATTAATATCTAAAATTAAATGATTTTATTAATATAAATTAAATTTAAAAAAACTATAGATGAAGTTAAGCATATTCAAATATTTCTCTTGTGAAGCCAAATCAACATAATTGTATTCATCGGCAAGCTAATATAGGAGTTCATACTTTAACAAAAGCCTCTATAAAGAAGTCGATCTTAGAATATAGGACAATATCCTATTGCTTGTCTCACTTTTATTCCAATAGTTAATGCATTCATATTTTCCTTTAAAAAAAAAATACTAATAGACTGATAGTTTCCTTCTCTCTAACAATCCGTTTTCTTTAATATATAAAAACTAGAAGATATCTTTTGCTATTTAAAATTTAAAAAAAAAATAAATAAAAATTATATTTAAGTAAAAGAATAAATAAAAAAAAATGTATAAAGAATGATATCATATCTTTATTTTAGATGGATATAAAATCATAAAAAATGATATGATGTTATCATTAATAAATCATGGATATTAAAAAACTCAACAACCTAAAGGACTTGAAATGACACCCACTTGCAGAGGCTGTCACTTTTCTCTAGGTCAACACAGCTGTGGTTGGCCCTTGGCTATGGCAGCAACTCCTTGAGTGCAACTAATTTATTTGTTTATAAGTTATCAAAAATATAATATTTACCTCCACTTCTTGTATAGTTTATTTGGAAATTGGTGAAACTTTGTTTGGATGGAAGGAAACGTGAGCAAGGATAGTTCTACGTGCTTTCTATGATACCAAATTGTCAAAAGCATAAACCAGATTCAAACTTGGCAAATTGTACATGTGCAAATATTAGAAAGGTGTAACTTTTCCAATAGTGTAAAACCTGACTTGTGCACTTAAAATAGACTTAACAATACAATTTATTTTTTTCTGATCCGACCGCCTATTTATGAAGTTTTATTAACTGATTTTATTTTCAATTAATAGAAAAAATTGGATTTTTTTTTTTTTTTTTTTTTCAGATTTATTTTTTTTTCTGATCCGACCGCCCTATTTATGAAAGTTTTATTAACTGATTTTAATTTTCAATTAATAGAAAAAATTGGAATTTTTTTTTTTTTTTTTTTTTTTTTTTTTGATTTGGCTCCATGGGTTCCCAGTAAATTCGTTCTGGAGTTGTTTGATCCAATGTCCTTCCATATTTAATGCGAACATTGTTTGTAAAATGAATTTAAAATAAATATATAATTTTTTTTCCTTTTTTAT